TGATGAAAATTCAAAGAGAAATGCATGCATGAGTTAGTTTAATTTTATTGAAGAAATTGGTAGAGAACGGGAAGAATTGGAGTAGAAAGGTTATGTTAGCCTTAACCAAATGTAAATTTTAGTATTCAAGAGTGCATTTTGTTATTGAACGCCCACTTTAAGGTACGTAGCTTAAATATGCTTATTTGCCCTTAGTTTTGTTTGCTTGCCCTTAGTTAAGTTTGTATGTTCTTAATATTGTTTGGTTGCCCTAAATTTAGTGAAGGATTAGCGAAGTTGGGAATTGCAAACTTCGCCGCGGCGAAGAAGGAACCTTGCCGCGGCGATGTATGCTCTGGAATTTTTCACCGAGGCAAAGAAAAATCTTTGCTGAGGCTAAGAGCTGGCTGAAATTCTTGAGAAGATTCTAGAGAATTTTCTTTAAGGGGAAAGTAACCATTATACCCCTAATTAGTAGTAAAAGTAGGGAGTTAAAAGTAAGGAAATTTCATGGGAAATACATTGGAGATGGCGATGTATTTGTAATGAACTAAAGGGCAAATATGGAATTTTCAAGAAAGTACAAGGGCAAAACAGGAAAGAATGCATATTTATATGAGATATTAAGGGTTGAGTCACACAAACCCTCCCATTCTCTACACCCCACATGCCACTTCTACTCTCCTATTCTCTTATCTTTTCATCAAATTTCCAAGGAAGATTAGAGGGCTTTTGGTTGGATTTTGGTAGAGATTTGATCCTAAGCATCAAAAGGTAAGGATTCTTGCTATAGATATGAGATTAATTTTTGAAAGTGTAGAATTCTTATAGTGTTTATGCTTAGGGTTTTAGAGAAAGAACAAGTCTACCAAAGAAAGAGTGATCCTAGTGGAATTACTCAAGCACAAGGTAAGTCAATCCAACCCAAGTTATGATTCAAGAAATCAATTGTGTAGAGATTGTATATTCATGTATATGCCTTTATTTTTTAGAATTGTTGAGAAGAATGATGTTGATTGATGAGTAGAAGTGAGCCATGTGAAGTGGTTTTGGTAGAATGTGATTAAATGAAGTTTGGTTGAATTTAGAAAGAGTTTGAGTATAATTTTTGAAGTATGTTTCCTAGCCAGGTTTGATCTTGTTTTAGAGGAGTTTACTCCAATTATGGATAATTTAAGAAAGAAGTAGAATTATAGTTAAAATAGAATTTGAGTATGCATGCATGATGTTTGGTGAAATGTCTAAGAGAAGTGTATGCATGAGTAGAGAAACTTTATTTTTGTGCTACATGGCATTTTTGCATTACATGTTTGTACGTAGAAATAATTAAAAGCATGAGACATCCACATGCATACTTATGCATATGTATGAGAAACTAAATAATAAAGAAAGAAAGATTAAAAAGAAAAGAAAGAAAAGCACTAAAGAATAAAAAAAAGAAAAGTGCTAAAAAGAAGAAAAGAACATGTTGTTGTGATGGGGAACCCATGAGTGACAAGAAGAAGAAGATTCCCACATACACGTCACCTTAATTGAGTTGCCTAAGACGAAGAAAAGAATTTGTACAGTCTGTAAGAGTACATGTAGATGAAGACGGTACTCACTGACATGGTCAGGGTTCCGAATCCATACTTCAACCGAGTCCGATCGGCAAAGAATAAGAAAGAACAAGAAAGTATAAGAAGGAATGAGCAAGCAAGAAAGAAAAGAAGAGAAAAAAAAGAGAAGAAAGAGAAGAAGAAAAGAATAGAAAGAAAGAAATAAAAAGAAAGAAAAGAAAGAACCAATAAAAATAGAGAAAGAAACATAATAAGTAATAGAAAAGAAGAAAGAAAATGCATCTCTATGCATTTATGCATTTGCATCTCATCCATGCATGTTACCATGATTCCTATCATGGTTAGTGAGAGATAAGAAAGAAAAAAAGAAAGAACATAGAGAAGTAGAAAGAAAGAAAGTACCAAGAAAGTTAGAATGAAAGAACAGTGAGAACTAGACACAGCAAAAGAAAAGAAAAAGAATAAAGAGAATGAAGAAGAAGAAAAAGAGTAAAGTAAGGAAAGAATACAAAGAGTGAGCAACGAAGACAGGGAAGTGTGGAGTAGCGGATTTACTTATTGAGCAATTAGTGCTCACCTTATTGCTTTTCCATGTTTAGCAGGAAATATGTGAGAAGCGGTCGGATGGACGTCGAGAAGCGCAGAGAACCGGCATTATTATCCACCGTTATTAAAACTTTTGTATATGCTATTTTGTTATGTAAAGAATTTTATATATCAAGTAAAGAAAATTTTTGGGCCCATTTACTTTTCATTTTATTGTATATACTATTTTATTATTGTTTAGTTTCCAAGTATACTAGTTAAGAAAGAAGGTATTACAGTTATGCCAAAATTTAGAATATTGCTTGGTCATGTTAGTTCAATGAGATAAATGGCTCTTAGTGCATGGTTCAAGTTACTTCAACCTTTAGTATTTCTTGAATAGCACATTATATTTTAGTTATTGAATTAGAAATTGCGAAACTTATGGCCTTGGGAAAGTGTCAAAAAGGAATTGTATGTTAAATTGTTACTTTGGTATGGCATTGATGATAGCAAAGAATAGTAGAATTATGTCATGACATATCAATATGCCATAATAAATTCTCAAGTTTGTGTACTTGAATTTAGAAATATTATCCAAATAATGGCTTGGCCAAATGAGTATATTGTTGTTTCTTGTTTTGAGATTAATTACAAACAATATGTAATAAGTGATTTTATTACATAAAGAATAGAAAAACTTTTCCAAGTATATATATCAAAAGAAACATTAAAGAAATAGAAGTTTGGTTTTGTCATAAATACATGACCATTTTAGAAATTGATTGCTATGAGTATAGTTTTTATGCCTTATTATATATTACAAGCTATAGAACTATGGTAGAAGATCTTGAGAATAAGTTGTATTGGCCAAAAGTTTAGTTAAGACTATTAGAAAGAAATTAGAATTTAGTCAAAGTATATATGTTGTGCCATATGTTAGATTGAATTTACAATAATTAATATGACAATATAGACTAATTTATAGAATGTAGCCAAAAGAAAAAAAGAAAGAAGGGCATGTATAACAATTGAAGTTGATGGTCATGTAAGAGAATGCGAATTTATGGTATTAAGATTTGTATTTAGAAAGTTGTACAAGGCATGTTTGTTACATTAGAAAAATATTAGAGAGTTGTTTAATGACATGGTTATGTGACATATAAGTTTGAGAAAAACTAGTAGTATAATTGGGCAAGTTAGTAGACTTAATACCTAAGTTATGGCATAGATTTTTATAGAAGAAATTAGATTGTCCAAAATGTAGTATTCATTCCCTAATTAAATTATGCCGTTTTAATATATAACTAATAGAATTATAGAAGAGTAGAATTTTTTAGAGCTAATGTACTTGTGTACGTGTACATTTTACATAGCATGATAAAATTGAAGAATTACAAAATTATGTAGAAATTATAGAATCGCGTACGTACACACAATGCATAGAATTTAGAAATAAAGAATAAAATAGAAAATGTTTAGTTTAAGCGTGTTAGTAGAATAGAACTTTGGGCTTTCCAGAAAAGTATAGAAATAAAAGCCTTAGAATTAATAGAATACATGTCAGAGTCAGACACGTATTTTGGGATCATGCATAGACAGCATATAAATGCATGACATAGCATAACATATATTTAAGAAATTTTATAATTATTGGAAATGTCTAGCTAGTTGTTTTGCAAATTTACAGAGAATGTTTGCAAATTACTGAGCATTCGCCGCATTAGCTAGTGGCAACCGAGGCAGAAGTTTCCCACATGCACGCCGCTATCAGTGAGCGGCCTCAGAATAGAAAACAGAATTGTACAAATTAGTTACATAATCTAAAAACAAAATGACAAGTGTCATAAAAGAACACAAGACATCACCATATAAAGCTGTCTCCGACTCTGGGCCAAGGCGCCGGAAGAGATTTTGTCGGCAATATGTGAGACAAACTCAACGAAAATATCAGCATCGCTTGAGGTGCATAGAGTGGTAATTACATCAATAATTTGGCACGCAATAGGTATTTCTCAATTTTGTGAAAGCTAATTATTGTTTCAAGTAATGAGGAACAGAATTGAAATATGCCTAGAATAAAAAAAAAAACTTTTAGATATATTTTTCAAACACTAATTCTTTTCTCTATAATTTTTAATTTAATGCAAATTGCATAAGTCTCAGTACATGTGAACTGCATTAGCATGTTCCATGACAAAACAAATGATTTTAACAGCACTTCACTTTTTTGATATTTTATTTTTCTTTTTATTTGATTTCTAAATTTCTAGTACCATGAGGTTCTTTAAATTCTAGTCTCATCACCAGTATAACACACTTGGTCAAAATTGATATTTTTTGTTCTATTAAACTACATAGCTGTACAGACGCAACCAAAAAAAAAAGTGCATTAAACAGCACCAAGATGTAGATTCAATTGACAGACACCAAAATCTAAAGATTACCTTATAAAGTAAAGATGTTGAATCAAGTGAACTATAACGAAGACCCATGTTGCTAGATCGACAAGATTTATTCTACTTGTTTTAAACCTGCTTATACCATCTGCCATGCTCTAAAAGACACAAGAGTTTAAGTCAGAAAACATCGATCACAATGAAATGATACAAAACTCATGAAAAAAACAAAGATATTCAAGTACTCTGTTGTTGTTGCATGTCAATAGATTCTACTCTTACGTCAAAGTTAATGAAGCAGATATAATGAGCAAAACTGCATAGAATATCAGATTGCTTAGCTGGTAAAGAGTATTCTAATAGATTGACACAGATTTATATGCCTTTAAGAGAAACACTTTACGCAATCTGTAACTCATAATTTAAAGAAAAACTACTAATTTTTAAATTGCAGCAGTTATTACCTTGCATCGAGATTCAACAACACAAGTGAAAACATTATGTGAGCGTGAACTTTCTGCATTTATACTAGTTGAACCTGTCCTCCTGTTTGACAATCCCTGCATCATAAAAACACTGATCATAAATTTAATGCAAGAAAAATTAACAAATCAAACATATTAAAATCAGATACTGAGGGGAGACAGGAATGTTACAAGTGAATAATCCAATTTATTTTCCCCAAAATAACTACTAACTATGATCCAGAAGTAGTAGATAAAAACAAAACAAAAAGAATTTCATGGATGACAATTCTCTACATGAACCTCATCAATTAGCTAAACTTCCAGTTATGAGGTTAGAACTTACAGTAAAGCCTTACACCATCAGCAATAATCCTTAAAATGCGTCAGTCCAGTAAGCAAATATACATCAATTTGAATCCCCTTAAAGAAGTCAAACTGGTATACTTCTGGTTGAAAAGAAATTTCAGTAAAACATTTAGTGTTTGTTCAATCTTTATTACAATTTATTTATTGATTATTCGGAAAAGCTTAGACTTCCATATAAATCTTTCACTATTATATCCCCCTTAAAGAAGTAAAACCGGCATACTTGGTAAAACAATTTCAGTAAAACATTTAATGTTTTGTCAATCTTTATTACAATTTATTTATTGATTATTCAGAAAAGCTTAGACTCCATATAAATCCTTCACTATTATATATAAACTGAAAGAAAAAAAAAAAATAAAAACACTCCCAAGTCACCTTAACTCTTTTCTCTGGTCAGTTCTTTGTCTCCTTTTGAGTCATTTGGGAACTAGGATACAAGGAGAAGATTCAAACTCCTAGAAGAAGATGAACGATTTCCTATGTATAAGAATCACCAATGTGTACATTTGATACGTATCTTTTATTTACTTCCCTCTTTGTCATCCAAAAAGAACTTATTTTTGTTACTGCCATATCTTGAACTTTCTATTTACTAAACCATGGTACTGTATTCGCCAAAAACACCTCCTTCTTTTATGTTCAAACACTTAATAAATTTGTAGTGTACTCTATTACATGCCAGAAAAAAGAAAAGAAAAAGAAATAGAGTTGCCAAGCATTACATGAGTAAACCCTTAAAATAAATCAAGCACCAGGAAAGATTCCTTTATGTTGGGTGTACCTATAGGTCATAGTCAATGTAACATGGAATAAATTTGTCAAGCAAGACACTATAACAAAAGGAAAATGAATATATACATGTTCTATCTAGCCAGGAATCGTACAACATTTGTTTTATTGGCATTCTCTAGAAGTCTCAAAGCTAGGACCCACCTTAAGCATCCTCACTATGCGTTCCAAGAAAAAAAACGAAGCAACCTTTATCAATAGTTGTGTGACATCCTCATTTTGCATATATACTCCTCTGTCAAATTTTCAACATAAACACCAGATTGAAATCTTCTCTTATCTGGAAGGAGAAGCAAAACAGGGTCAAGGAAAACTGAATTTATGTAGGTCTTTTACTGGATGTTAGTGTTCTGTTACCTGAAGATTTCTTTGGCTGGATCCAACAAATCTGTGATTTGTTCATTGTAAATCTGCAATAATATGTGGATATATTAGGACATGCAACATTAAATTTCACAAGACCAAAAGGGATACTGTCCAGTCACAAAACCTGAAGAAAAGAACAACGAATTTCTCTCTTCTTCTAATACAAACAAAAGAAAGAAACTCAGCAATTTCTCGCTTTTCCACTCAGTAAAAAAACAGAAGCTTTAAAATTTACCTTTTCTCAAGCTTGAGTCACTTTTCCCCAAATCTGTCAAAATACAAAAAAGATAATATCAAATAACCACTGAAAAGAAGAAGATCAAAACAATTACTTGAACACCCGACAACCATACATTCTCGGGAAGTGTATGAGTGGTGAGTGTTGAGTGGTTGGGCGGGCGTGGGGGAAGCGGACTCTTAATCTTAGAAGATGCTAGAGAAGGTGGAGAAGTGAGTTCATCTTTTTGCTTCTACAATGACTTTAATTTTGAGTTAGGGTTTGGAGATAGCGACCCCCTGAATGGGTCTCTCTAAAGATTGTGTTTCTGGCTGCATGAAGTGGGTGATTCCGATCAGAAACTACAGAGAGAGAAGAGAGAAGAGAGAGTAGGGTTTGTTTATTGGGCAAGATTGTTGAGATTGAGGGCATTGGAGACAGAAAAGGAGAGGAGAAAGAAATGTAGCCATTGGTAAACTGCCGAATTTTGTTGAATTATTACACATGTGGGGAATTTATACCCAGAAAAAGAATAGGAGTTGTTTTGAAAGCGTGATAAGGTTTTGATTGGTCGCCTCAAAATAAGAATTACATTGGGCTAGAAAAATTGTTTGAAAGCGTGGTAAGAGGGGATGTTCTTGCAGCCTCAACAATGTATTTTAATGCATATGCTTAATTGCAAGCTTAATTATTTAATTGGACTTTAGCCTCTCTATGTCCAACATAATCATTCTGGGCTCACCATGACTCCATCTATTTTCAACAACGATTGGCTTCAAGACATTGCAGCCATCTAATCTTAGCAGTCCAGCCCCTCTCTATATTTTCTTCAAGAGAAGAGAAGCCCAACTCCTTTCCAGATTTTTCAAGCAAGCCAATTGGTTTACTAAATATATAGTATGTTGTAATTTTGAGATTATATGTTCCCTTTAATGCCTTCATGAGGGTAAAACTAACCCAATTCTTCAAAAAGCAAGATTGAAAGAGACAAACGGAACAAAATGTTATTACTTAAATTTTTGAGTTAAAAAGACGTTGACCTCCAAGGTTTATTGTTTTAGCCATGTTTTGAAAACTAGACCAAACCGGACCAATGATCGGTGCCCATCCAGTCCGGATTACCATTTTAAATGATTCACAAAACCCCTAACCTGATCACCGGCGAACGAGAGGCTATCAAGTGTTGGGGTTAGAGAGTTTTTGTAGAGTGGAGGTCGGTGATTCAAGGGATGGTGTCGAATTGAATTTGGACATTAGAATCAATAGAAATTTGGCTAGAAAAATCAACCAATACGGAGTCATGGCTGGCGAATGGGTGCTACCAAGTGGTTAGGTTAGATGTTTTAAGAGTGGAGGCTAGTGGTTCAGGTGGTGGTATTAGATTGAATTTGTGACGTTAAAATACCCGAAATTTTGCTAAAAAAACTCAACCCAATCATCACGATGTTTGCAAGTCACAACTGGGGAATAGGGGCTACCAAATTTAGGAGTTTTGTAAAGTGGAGGACGATGCTTCAGGTGATAGTGTCGAATGAATTTTGGCCATCAAAATTGGTCGGGAAAATCAATTTAGGGTCGATCTGGGGGTGTATTTGCTAGATATTCAACATGTAGGGACTGCGATATTCTTAGGTGTGGTTTATAAGATTTCCAACTTCTGGATCACCCGGCGGACCACGGTTTAATCGGTCGGACCAGGCAAATCGAAACGTGGTCCCTTGAACGAGTGACAGCCCAAGTTGGGTTTCAGAACCTGGTTTTAACTAAAAACTCAGTTTTTGATATAACAAATATCTACCATTAATAAATCATTAATAAGCTATTGAAAGAGTGTATAATATTTAGTGAATTATGTTTTGTTATTTATTTTAAAGCTCAAACATAACGACAAATTAATTTATTAACTCTTGATCACTAGTGAGTGAAGTTTTTAAAATCTCCAGAATTTTTTTGTTATTTAATTAGTCAAGGAGATAATACATTAACTATCCATCCCTAGTGAAGTTACACAATGGCTAGCTCATTTTTACTATTTTCTCACCGCTCCCACGAATTTTGTAGATTACCAAAAGTGACTAAATAAGTTAAGATTTTGCGTTAGTGTTGTTGGGATTACTGCAAAATATTGGGTTCTTTTCACATAATTGAAGTATGTTAAAAATTCAGTGTTTGTCAACCTACGTATGCGCTTCCCAATTTTGATGGAACTTTGTACCTATAATTATTCTTTCACGTTAATTTAAATAATTTTGATAAAAAAAAATAAAAATAAAGGAATAATGGATTAGATAAAGCAGCCTAACAATTGTATTTTAATGCATATGCTTAATTTGCAATAGTAAAGCAAGCTTATTATTTAATTGGACTTGGCTCTCTGTGTCCAACCCATAATCATTCTGGGCTCACCATGACTCCATCTATTTTCACCAACGATGGCCTTCAAGACATTGCAGCCCCATCTAATCTTGACAGTCCAGCCCTCTTCTATATTTCTTCAAGAAAGAGAAGCCAACTCCTTTCTGAATTTTCAAGCAAGCTAATTGGTTACTAATATATAGTATGTTGTAATTTTGAGATTTATTGTTACCTTGAATGTCTTCATGAGGGTAAACTAACCCATTCTTCAAAAAACCAAGATTCAAAGAGACAAACAGAACAAATATGTTATACTTAAATTTTTAAGTTAAAAAGCGTTGACCCCAAGGTTTATTGTTTAGCCACTGTTTTGAAAACTGGACCAAACCAATCTGGTGATCGATGCCCTATGCGGTCCGAGTTACCATTTTAAACTATTCACAAAATCCCTAACTTGATCACCAGGGAATGAGAGGTTATCAAGTACCGAGGTTAGGGGGTTTTTGCAGGTAGAGGTCAGTGATTCAAGGGATGGTGTCGATTGTCGAATAAATTTTGGACGCTAGAATCAATCAAAATTTGGCTAGAAAAAAACCGAATATGCGAGTCATGGCTAGCGAAGGGGGCAATGCAAATATAGTCGTTATGCCAAAATAGGAGTTTGAAAAACACAAAAACTTGTTGACCGCAATGAATCGGTCAACCAGATTTAAGGTGATGCCGACGTGGCACTAGCCGTTAGAACAACACAAGCACATCTGTTAAATCAAACCAAATAGGCAAAATAGGGCTGCTCCAGTTCAAATATGGAAGACAATCCGGTCGAACTAATGGGTGAATTTTCAAACTATGGCAGATATACTTTACCCGTAAACTTAGAATATGATATTTTGCCCTAAATAGAACCAGAAATGGGATGCACATGCAGTTGATCAGCTTGGGTTAAACTATAAAGATATGAAACATATAAAATATCAATTTAACCCCTAGGTTTGAAAAGTGACATTTTGGTCTAAATCTTAAAAACCTCAAAGTTACATTTCATCTTCGTGGCACATTGCACTCATTCAGCTCCACAACTCTCAAATATCTACACACATATATCACTCTTGATTCCATTCACCGTATAATCACAACTCTTTAAGTGAATTTGTAACACCACTTCGAACTCAAAATTATTAAAGATAAAATCCAGTAAAATAATACAATTATAGCGAAAGTGACCCATCCAATCAAATTTATTTTACAAATGAGCATATCGAAGTTAAAGCTTACAACTCCTAAGCAAAAAAGTTTGCAAATTTGAATCCAAAGCATAAAGCTTACAAATTCTTAAAGTAACATACCTAAATTTCAAATTGTGAATAATAGCACAGTGTAAAATGGCATAACCTTAAAGTTCTTTGTGTGTACTTGATATTGTATACCAAATATAACACCAACATGGACATAAATTTAGTTACAAATAAAAAACAAATATTGTAACTTTTTCAATACCTATCAAGTTACAAAAGTGTGTTATACTACAGGAAAAAATATTCTATACTATGCTCAAAAATAATCCTTGTAATTGCCACTCCCCACAATCACAATCGTGTGTCTTCAAATTGCCTATATAAGTCCTTGTAGAAATGGAAATCAATGGGAACCGAGTTAACGACTTTGTCCCACTAAATATAGTTTGATGTCACTTTCCGCCACAGACTTTTAAAATACCACTTTACTACCCAGATTTATTCCAATGGCGCACAAAGAACAAACTCAGTCTAGGCTATTGGGGATTTGAAGAGGGGAGGTCAATGAGTCTTTGGGTGGTTGGGATTGATCAGAATTTATTGGGAGGGGCGGTTGTGTAAACCCTAATCGTTTGATTGCCAGGGATTGGCAAGGTCCAAGGGAGAGTAGAGTTCGAAGGGTTTGGTTGAGTGATGATCGGCGAAGATAATGGTGGTGGTGTGGGTCGCAACAATGCCGAAATCGAAAACAGAATATAAATTTGAGTAGTAAAGTGGTATTTAAAACTGTGTGGATGGAAAAGTGTCATAAACCATTATTTGGGTGGAAAAAAGTGATTTATAGGTTCCAATGAGTAAACAATATAGAGAGACTAGAGCAATGATAATGGATACTTTCATCACTATTTTGCACAAACAGTGACTCAGATGATGAGACGTTTTTGATAGAGTGGTCAATATATTGATGGTGGATAGTTTGATTGCTTTAGAG